GCATTATATAGTTTTTGGTGCTACTTTTTGATAACCACTGAAAGACTTAAGGGACTTTGGAAGTTATTCATGTTCTTAGTAGCTTAGTCATAGATCACGTGATGTCAGTGCTCTGTGATTCACTTCTGATTCATTTCAAATGGTTCACTAGGTGATAAAGTTGGAACCTGCTTATGAAATGAAGGCCTCTTAGACCTAGAAGAGCTAACTTTCTTTATTGCAGAATTGAGTTCAGTTAAGACATCCTTTGCATTTTTCCTGTTGCCTTATATTGCACTCATGAGTTGGAAGGTCTCAGTACAGTTATCTTATCTAGAACATACTCTTTAAGTATACTTACCACAGGCTTAGCGGCCATCAGCGCCTGGTGAAAAGCAGACAGTATGTTCTTAAAGCCTGGCTTGTTGGCTTTTGAGTACTTTGATTCTTTCAAGTATTCACTGGAAATAAGTGCTACTTCAGTTTATTCCTAAATCACAGATAACAGGGAGTGACCAGTTGGATCATGCAATAGATCATGGGCCTAGATTAGGATGTTCTCACTCTTGTGTGTACTGAGTCTCATGTGCAATGGAATTTTTGTAACTGTAGTTTTTAGTGTCTTTGAGTTACTATATAGATAATAAAATATTTAGCCCTAAATGTTTTTATGTTTTCACTCTTGTAGTTAAATACTGGAAAAGTGTATTCAACTCCTGCTGCCTTGTTTGTTTTAGCGAATATTTATTAAAACAACTTAGTACAATAAGGGCATTTACATGAGGAAAAGCATGTAACCAGTGGGTTATTTGTGTTTTGCTGCAGTAAACCAAAGCTGAGGATTATACAGTATTTTGTAGCTTTCTTTAAGATAAATTGGCTGAAACACACCCATTCCACTTTATTTAGTATTCACTTAGTGGGTTTTGCTCAGCAGGGTGTGTGGTTAGAAACAGGTATACAAACGGAAATGAAAATGAGTCTCAAAGTTTTAAAACAAACTGCTGGAGGTTCAAGAGAGTGCTGTAAAGGCATTCAGGAACACTCTTGCAACACGGTCAGGAAAGCCTTCTTATTTGCTTCGCTGTTTGCACAGAGAGGGTTTAGCATAACTTTCATTACTTCCTTACACAGCTGTTTACAAGGTTGGCTCTCCAAAAAAGTGACGTAGTGGTCAGAGATGTGAAAGATCCAATGACAGTTCAGGAATTGAAACTGAGCTGGAGTCTCTTCTTGACTTTTACCAGTTTAACTCCATGATTTGCTTTTAATTATGGATTCTGAAATACAAATTTCAATGAAGGGGAATCAGACTTGTTATTTTCCTCTTTAGTAACATTTGCTGTATCATGGTGCATGCACTTGAAAAGTGCTTCCTTTTAAAACTGCGCAGGAAGATGACATTAAATATTTGATGGTATGTGTTTGTAAAATTGTGTGCTGCTACAATTCCATTAAGGCTTGCTGCTCAGTGCTGAACTGTACTGGGAATCTTAGGATTTTTTTACTGCAGAGTGTTTTAATTTGGTTTTTTACAATGTTTTTCTTTGTGGAGATGAGCCTTTTATTTTGGTGGGAGAATGGATAACACAAAACTTCTTAGTACTGCTTTAATGTGTGCAAAATAATTGCATGTCATTGTAATGCAGTCTATCTCTGTTGTGAGATAGTTAGGTCTCGATGTTATGAAGCATAAATGCACTTCTGTTATGCAAGAAAATACCATAAATATGTTGACCTAATCACTAATAGTAGGCAGAACACACTGTTTTTCTCTGCATCTTGGTAAAATGGAAAAGAGACCTTCTAGAGGACAGAAATTCGATCGAGCCTTGTGCCAAGTGGTACCTATGTTATGTAATGGCAGATGATTTTGGAATACACACAGAGGAAAAACTGCTAGGAGAGTGAGTTATTTGCTGTCTTTGTTAGCTGGAGATGATCTATATTGAGCACTTCTGAAAAGCTGGTGATTTAATTGCAGCTGTATATACTTAATAGTATGTGTGCACACAACCATTTGGCTTCCAGGTTAAGCATATATTGAACTGCTTTTCTGATTAAACAAGAGTTGTTGGATGGAGGTTCTGGCAGAACACCAGGTTTTGTAGAATGGATGAAAATTGATGCAGGCCTCTGTGTGCAAGGCCTAAAATAATTTTACTCTTCCTGAAGACACTGGAAGAGCACAAAATGCCAAATACTACAGGCCTAAATAAGTATAAGAATGTGAAACAAGGAATGCATAAGCTTCAATTCGTGTTATAAAACTGAGAACTTGTGGTATAAGTCAAGAGGCTTTATTTAAGTGTAATTTAAGTGCAACTACAGAAGGTAGAGGTAGAACTGGTCTTTCGTGTGTTAAGTGTCGAAAATCACCTGGAGCATAAAGTTCTCATTCTGGGCTTGATAATGCTGAGTTGGGTGCTGCATGTTCACAGAGGCTCTGCCAGAATTTGCTAATCAGGATTTTTCTGCTTGTCTTGTCTGAGAGGCTGGCTGTAGTAAGATGTTTCAAGACTGTTTATTGTGCTGAGTTTCCTTCAAACTGACTATGATTTTCCTAGAAGAATGAAGTTACCCATACCACCTATGTCCTTTGCTTTCAGGGCTCCACAGTCAGCTAAACAACAACTTTACTTGTAAACTACAGATCTAGGCCATTCTGAGCCACCTTCCTATTAAACTACATCTACTCTGCATGAAATAGAGTCAGCCTGTCTGCCAGCTTAAACTAAAATTTGACAGAAAGAGAGGAATTTCAAAGAATTGCTTGTGTAGAAAAGATACATCCAGATTGGTGCCCACATTGGTGTAGGAGCAGTTGTGTGAGCTCATCAGTGGTCTGATTTCATTTCTGCTGTCTGGCCAGTCAGCCTGGATTCAACCACAGCATGTATTGCTTTAAGCATGAGTGAGGAGTTATGGCAGTGTTGTGGGGAAGAGAAGGAAAAGACTTTCAGGGGAGCATATTGTGATAATAGGACTATTGTGTAGTGAAGAATAGTGGAGACAGATTTAGAGGAAATCAGGCTTTATTAGTTCTATGAAAGATCCAATGTATTGTTCAAAAAGAAAGACCTGAGCTCTGGGGTTCTCTCTTCACGTTTGGTACCTTCCTGGAGAAAGGCATAGGAAACTCTAGCTTAATGACTAACATGCATTATCTTGTTTTGCAAGTGAGCTAAGTTTAATGTTCTTTTTGATGCTGTGCAATTTAAAAATCCTTCCCCCACCCCCCACCATGTTAGATGCCATTTCATATGCTGCAAATCTGCTTTCACCTTCCTCTTTCATTTTACATTATTGTGCATTGCTTCTGTATATTGCTCCCATTAATGCTGGTTTAAGTGATAATTACATTTAACCTCATAGAGGACAATGTATTTAAAATTATTTAAAATGGTAAATCTTCTTTTGTGTTTGACAGAGTGTCTAATTCCAATTCAGGCTACTTTGGTTCCCTCATGGCAGGCTGTAGAAAAACATCTTCTGTTAATATAGAATCAGAGAATAGTTAGGGTTGGAAAGGACCTTAAGATCATCTAGTTTCAACCCCCCTGCCATGAGCAGGGACACCACACACTAAACTGTGTCGCCCAAGGCTCTGTCCAGCCTGGCCTTGAACACTGCCAGGGTTGGAGCATTCACAACTTCCTTGGGTAACCCATTCCAGTGCCTCACCACCCTCACTGTAACACTTCCTTATATCCAATCTAAACTTCCCCTGTTTAAGTTTAAACCCATTAACCCTTGTCCTACCACTACAGTCCCTAACGAAGAGGCGCTCTCCAGCATCCTTATAGGCCCCCTTCAGATACTGGAAGGCTGCTATGAGGTCTCCACGCAGCCTTCTCTTCTCCAGGCTGAACAGCCTCAACTTTCTCAGCCTGTCTTCGTACAGGAGGTGCTCCAGCCCCCTTATCATCCTCGTGGCCCTCCTCTGGCCTTGCTTCAGCAGCTCCATGTCCTTTTTATGTTGAGGACACCAGAACTGGACACAATACTCCAAGTGAGGCCTCCCAAGAGCAGAGTAGAGGGGCAGGATCACCTCCTTTGACCTGCTGGTCACACTTCTTTTGATGCAGCCCAGGATATGGTTGGCTTTCTGGGCTGCAAGCGCACACTGAAGCCTGCTCATGTCAAGCTTCTCATCCACCACCACCCCCAAGTCCTTCTCCCCAGGGCTGCTCTGAATCTCTTCTCCAAATATTTACAAACACTTTCACTACTGTGTTACAGAAATGGAAACCTTTAAACATTCTGCTACATTTGATGTACTTGATCTTTTTTGAATATGGAAAAAAAGACCACAAGACCTTTAAGACAGATCTTGTCTGAAAACCTTCTTCAAGTGACATCCTTGTAGCACATAGTTTGAGGAAATGTGTTAGGATATTTAGGTCTACCACCAGGAGTATTAATAGGTTAACCTATGGGCTTCTGCATATACTTTATCTCATTCCATGCAACCTGTGCATGTACTTCAGTGTTATGTATGTCAGCTATACAAAAAGCCTTACAAATACTTAAGAATATGGGCATTCTGTTTGATAAGTTTAGTTGTGCCACTGACTGACTGGTATGGATCAATAACTGAATTCTTTTGCTCTGCAATTCATTAGTTTGTTTCAAAGGTTATACTTATCTGCCTAAAGCTAAGCATTTAAGTGCATTGCTGTGCTGGGATCATTACGAATAATTATCTGGATATTTTGCGTGCTTTTGACACACAACTGCTTTTTTGCTTGCCTTATTTTTATTTATTTGTTTATTTATTTAGATTTGATAAGGGTCTTTCAAATCCTGACATGTGTCTCTCATCTGAAAAATGATGCACTTCACATGTTAGTATGTTACTGCTGTTTTTGAAATAGCATAGGTAAACAGGCCTGATGAGAATTAGTATTAGTTATTATTAGTATTCTGAAAAAGCCTCCTTTACTGAGGCTTATTCTGAAAAAGCCTCTTTTACTGAGATATACCAAGATTTCAATATGAATACCCCTTCTTTTTTTCAGATTTAGAAGGAAATGCATATCAAAACAACCATCTGCTAAAGATAATTCTCGCTATGCATCAGTTTATCATCTCCTCTGCAGACATGCTCCAGAAGGTCATTGATCTATATCCTTTTTAATATTCACCTGCTGTTAAGGTAATATTAGATAACTTGACAATTTTGAAATGGGTAAGTAGAGGATATTTAATATTTGGGTGTATTACTATTCCATTATTTAAACAATATCCTTGTTCTTCACAGGTTTTGGTTGTCTTTTCGGTTTGTTTAGGGCTGGGGTTTTTTTAGGTTTTTTTTGGTTTAGCTTGTCATCCACAGAGCGAAAGATGCAACTCCAATTCAGATTTTAAGTAGGATAAATCACCCTCCATTGGCCTTTGAGGTAATATCTAGCAAGTGTAAGATTAATGTAGGCACCTCAGTTAGGTCCTGTGAACCTGGGCCTAAGTTTCAGGTCTCCTTCTCTCTCTTTCTGTCCTCCATATAAGTAGAAGAGCAAGGAACAAAAGTGCAATTCTTGAAAATATGCTAATTGTGTCATCTGGAGATGAAAATGTTCAACAAATATTATTTCCTTCACTACCAAAATTAAAATGCACTGGAATAAATAATAAGCTTTTCCCTCTTATTTTTTCCCATATTGAGTTGACTGCCTGGACTCATAAAAGTGTGTTTCTGGCTCATTAGGTTTTTCACAACAAAGCTAGTAGATCATATTGGCAATACTAGCCTTTAAAAAAAAAAACTAATTGTGGCATTTATTACCTGACTTCTTAGCTTTAAAGAGTGTTTACACCTAGTTAGGAGATTAGGTAGAGGAAGCACACCTGACATGCTGAGAATCTCCCACCAATTTTGATACAATTTAATTTAGATAATCCTGTCTTTCCCCAACCTCTGTATTTTACTGGGTTTTAAAAACAGCATCATTTACAGCCAAGCTTTACTGTAGTGTTGGATTCTGACTGTGCTGCTGCTTCTCTAACCACAAGTGTTAGATCAAGTGTGCTAAGCTCCAACTGTGCTGTAGTGTTGCATTTAACTTATGCTCATATGCTCTTTGAAAATGGAAGAAAGTAGTTGCTTGTATGTTTCTGAGAAGTAACGTTATCTACAGTCAGAGAAGTGATTAAAACTTTTATCAGACTTGCATATTTTGCAAGCTTGTTTTTTGACCCTGTTTGTAGCTCCCTGTAAAGACATTGAAAGATAAAGATAATTTTGAATGGATCAGAAAGCCTGGGCTATTGTATTTTGAAAAACCTTGCAGATGTCCCAGTTTCACCATTTTCCATCCCCTGAGTTACTTGAGTGATTTTTAGATGGTTAGGAGTGATTTGTGAACCATCTAAGTTCAGACATTCAGTTCAGGCCCTTCAAAATATTTGGGAACTTACTCAGACCTCGAGAGTTCTATAGTCAGCCTAATTTAAGCATTTAATGTGGGTGCTTACATTCTGGATGGTATGTCCCCTCAGTTGTGGTAGTTTTAGGCTGCCATTAATTTCAGGCAGATTGTGGTAGGATTCACAAGGTATTTTCATTAAATTGTATGTGTTAGCACTGAAAATGTGTGTAATCTACAGCAGAAGAATCAAGATGTGCATAATCCATTTTCCAAATGAAATTTCCATGTCTTTGAAAGACATTGGCTACAATATCAAAATGTGTTTTACAGAGGTAATAGACTAAAAATATGGGTGTTTCTTTCCAGTTACCACAGCAAGTCAAATGAAAACTGTTGTGTAGTTAGAAAGGTAAGATTTGCAGGGAGAGGCATTTGACATTTTTCTCTACTACTGTATATAACTGTTTATGTTTAAAAGAAAATAGCATCGTTTTTTGAAAATCTTCAGTGAATTGTAATTAACTGAAAAGGCTTTCTTCATAAAAGCAGAAATTGATGAATTTAGTATTACTGTTTCAGATTCTAGTGAGATGTGCATGAGTTTTATTAGAAATTGTGAGGCATGTTGCAGAATAAAAAACATATGTAGAAAGCAGAATCATTTCACTACTTAACACTACTCAGTACTTGGTCAGCTACATCAGTATTACTCACAGTAGTCGTATTTACAATAAACTTTTGCTAACAATCCTGGGATATAATTTGTATACACTTGTGTAAAACCCTAAACTGATATTATTTGTCATCATTAGAATGATTTGTATTGCTCACAGGTATGGAAGTATCAAGCATGTTACATTTCATATCATATATGAATGGTTGTGTTTTTCCTTAACAGTTTTCTACCTATCTGAATGCTTTAGAAAGTAAATCTTCCATGCTGTGTGTAAAGATATGCTATTTTGTGAGGTGAGAATATTCTTGCTTGATAGGTATTAGTCTGCAGCTATCCATGTGCCATACGTAAGAATGCTTTTGCATATGTTAAGCTGATATTAAAAGGAAAACCAGCTGTACTACTTCAGCTTTTCAAAGTTCACTTTAGTAGTTTTACACAGAAAGACCAAACCGGCTTTGTGCACATCCATTGAAGTTGGTGCCTGAGTTGTTGGGTCACAGTTTTGAACTGAGCCTGTATCTTAAACATCAGTGAAAACGGACAGTGCTAGCATTGGTAGTATCGTGTCTAATATTATTGTATAGGTCTATTAAAAAAATGAAGTGGGATATTGAAGCTATTTTTATATTGAGCAAACTATTGTATTCAGTAGGTAATTCTCCAAAGTAATTCCACTCAGTTACTTGAAATGATCCTGGACCACTTTTCAGCCTTACTGATGTTAGAGTAAAACCTTTATTTTTGTGTTTCTGTATTTTCAATGTGCAATAGGTATTGGATTACAGAGTTCTGGGTTATGTTCAAAATGGACTCTAAGCTATCCACAACTATGGAGGAATTTCAAGAACTAGTTAAAGCTAATGGTGAGGAGTTACACTGTCGTCTAATTGACACAACTCAAATGTGAGTGCTGCAGTCTCAATATGCTCAGAAAACAAACTTGTGCTCTGAATTTCCCGTATTCAAATATAATGTCTCTCCAGTATAGCAGGATAATTGTCCGATAGTGGGTTAAATTTATAAGTCATATATTACCTATCCTCAGAAGAGTTTGTATTTCATTATAGATGTTATATATATATATCATGTAGAGAAACAGAATATATTTCGAGAATGGCTTAGGTTGAATTTAACTGCACTGTAGACTTTGTGCTGATTCTCTACACTACATAAATTTTACTCTATCCAGGAAACCTAGAAAATTTGTAGAGACCTAATGATTTTGAAGAATCACTTGAAGTCAATGAGAAAGGAGAATGCCTTTTGACTGGGTAACAGATGAGGTTAAAAAAGTGTGTTTATATTTTTAACACCAAAGGTAAATGAGAAGATGTAGTTTATTACATTGTAAAACTCTTGATTCTATTTTATGTGATTTTAGTTAGAAGATTACTTGTCCCCTCAAGAAAAAAATCCTACAGCTATACATCACGTTGTTCTTTCTTGGGAAGAGAACCTTCCCTGTTATCAAGGAGACTAAGATAGCTCTGTGGAACTGTATAACAACTTCGGTTGGAAATGTACAGGCAAAAGCAGAGCAGAATTTGGCATACATTTTATATCTGGTTATGAAAGAGGATTTTTACTTTTTCAAATTCAATTGAATTTCATTCCTCTGTGGATGAGTAGCATAGGGTGAGAGTTCATACTCGGAGGCTGGTCAAGGAAACCTGTAAGAATTATTAAGTGGAGGAGCACTGGATGTGTTCACTGAGAACAAAGTTACGGACAGCAATTCTGGAAGTGCAGTATATCATCTCATGCTGTTTAGTATAATAGTTGCATTGTACTTACTTGCTACATCAGCATAATAAACACTAACAATATTTTGTCATATAATCTCGAATGTATGAGAGGAGCTAGCTGTTTAGAAATTCAAATAATTGACTTTTTATTGCAGTAAGGAATGAAAACAATGACACTTTTGTATTAGGGAGAGAGGAAAATTTTGCTCTTCAGAAACTAACTCATGGTAATTCTGTTTTGTCTAAAAGAAATTCTAGGGATTGGTCTAGAAAACTGACACAGCGGGTAAAGACCAACACCAGTAAGAAACGGAAAGTCTCACTTCTTTTCGATCACCTTGAGCCAGAGGAGCTATCAGACCACCTTACCTATCTTGAATTTAAGTCTTTCAGAAGAATATCAGTAAGTTTTTTTTATTTTTTAAATTTTTGTATATATGTACTTACTTATTTTAAAGAAAGACATGAAGAACATAGAAAACATGGGAGAGGGGTAGTATTACAAGATTAACCCTGCAGTGCAAGCTGTTGAGCTTGAGTCGGGGCAAGGTCAATTGGAAGGAAGAGGAGTAAACCATTTGATCTTCTTCCAAATTATCTTTTTGTTAGAACAAGTGGTGTTACTTGGCACAGGAACAAGCAGCCTCCTTTGACTCAAATCAGTAACCAGGCTGAAATGGGATGAAGGAAACTTGGAATATTCTCCTAGAATGCTAACCTCCTGTGGCTGTAGGAAACAGTGCAGCATTATTGTGCAGTGACTAATGGACTGTCCGTACAGAAGTCCACTGGACTCTGCTTGCCACTTTTTATTGTGCATAACAAAATAAAGACTAGGGATAAGGAAACAACTAAGAAAATGCTGTTTTTTTATGTAAGGGGGGTTTAAAATATTTTATTATACAAGCTTTCGAGTACACAAACAATTCTTAAGGATTTATCTTTTCCTTTTGTAAGGATTTATGTTTTCTTTCATTTGATTTGTTTTTTCAGCTGTGTTGGTAGCATGTAAGATGCTAAATTCCCCATGCACCCTGGCTTGCGCCCTTGAACGCTACAGCATTACTCCTATTCAAACCTGATACAGTTCACAGATGGAAAAGAAAAGTGAACATTAGAGACCAAATTCTAAGCTGGTTTCAAAGTCACTGTTATTATAACAGTGAAAGCAAAGTGGGCTTTTTAGGCTTTTTGTTTGTTTCGCTTATTTAGTGGTTTGGGTTGGTTTGGGTTTGGTTTTTTTAAGGTGGTTTTTTTTTTTGAAACACAATTTGAAGATGAAGTCTTACCAGGAGAGGGGCTCTCAATGATTGTGGGAAATTTCACTGTTGTGTGTTAGTGTACTTTTTTTTTAGCTGACAGTACATGACTCTTCGTGTTTTGTTAAATTCAAAAAGCCATAGAAGCAAAGTCATGCACAGATTGCTGCCTGTAGGCAGTAATAATATGCAAAGCTTATATAACTCTTAGCATTTTCAAGCTCTGTGCAGACAAAAAGTAATTAATGATTAATGAGCATAACAAGTACGATTGCAGTGAAAGTGTCAGATGTGTCATGGATTTCCAACAGTTACATACTTGTACGCATTTCATGTGCTTGGTCCTGCATGTGTTTTGGTATAAATTGAGTTACCAAGATCTCAGATCAGAAAATAATGTGTAATTAATAAATAGCTGTATAGATTAACTCTTTGCAGAATATGTTCATCATATGCTAAGCCACAGAATCCTTTTGTTATTCTAACATGGCAGCATATCCTGGGAGAAAGGTTGCAAATGACCTGCTATGTTATCAGTTACAGGAATTCATAGGTTCAGTCATTTGAAAGTCAGGAAGGAATACTTGATCCCCAGAACATACATAGCACACAGCAAAATCTTCCACAAGACAGACACCGTGTATCTTGCAGCAAGGAAAAATGCAGGGAGTGGTGTTCACAGAGCAAAACCAGCAGGTATGCTGGTGTTTGGAAACCATTTTAATTTATAGTTATAAAATACAGGGAGGCTACACTCTTTTGTAAGAATCTGGATTCTGTTTTCTTGTTGAGACTCATAAGTTAGTCATTGCAATACCAGACTCCTGAATTATTTAAGTACCTGGACTTCTTTACCATGTCTGCCACTAACAGTCTTGTTAAAGACGACATCATTAATAAATTCTTACACCAAAATTACTTCAAAACTTTAAGTAGGATATTATATATAAATTTGTTCAGCATTTAAAAAAAATTCTTTTCTGAAGGTGAGAGCTGCTGGGAACAAAATATAAACTAATCAAATTGATTCATAATTGTACTGTAACTGCTATGAAGTCCATAATTATGTAGTCAGATATTGAAAAATTATCTATCTATATAAAGTAGTTGCTTAAATTTTAAGATCCAGCCAAATCTGGCTGGGCTTCAAAATTCAAACAGTAATTGTAAGTAAGTACTATGTAATCTCAGAGACAGCTCTACTTATTGCTGTTACTTATTATTAATTTAATAAGAGGACAAATCCAGAGATGTCTGCTGTCATATCTGCTTTTTAAAGTGTTAATAGTTCTTACTAAATGTGTGGAAAAATTAAAAAGTGGAGAGAAAGGGAGAGAGGGAGAGCAAAAAGAAATAGCAGCCTGACAATTGGTGACCTTTTCTTAAGGATCAATGCCATTCAGCATACTCCTATGGCCTTAAGAAAGCAATATGTCTCTATTACAGCTATGAATTTTTGGTAAAATGTTAGTATTAGTGATCCTAGTGAAGAATGGATGTATACATCCCATGTTGCATTTTCTGATGATTCAAATTCTTGTGTATTCTTGTTACTGGATAAATCAAGAGAATGGGTAAGCATTGCATCAACAAAAACAAATGATTGCTTCTTTTTGACCTTAACGGTAAGAATGGCTTAAAAAAAACTATTTGCTACATACAGATGTCTACTGAACAATTTTAGGACACTTTGGTTATATAAGAGAATCTCACAGGCTGTATTAAAAATATTAACAAATCTGTAGCCCTCATTCTGAATGGTCTTATGTAAGTTTTATATTAATGTCATTGAACTTGCTTTTTGTATTAGTACAGCTTAATTCAGAAGTGTGACCTACATACGTAAACTGAACACTTCATTTCATTAAACTGTCACCAAGTTACTAGATTACACTTTAAGTTCAGTTTAACCTTACGTGTCAAAGCCTAGATTCAGTGAGTGTATGGAGCCACTGAGGCTGGGAGGATAGCTGTCATCCTAAGGTTTATAAAAGCCAAGGCTCCTGAGATACATATGATGTAAATGTTGTGATACAAATTATGGCAAAAAGATGCTTTCAGTTAATTTGGTTAGTTGAAGCCTTCTGCTTTGAACTGAACAAAGCTTTGACCAAGGAGAGATTTCAGTCCTATCGATATTTAAGTTGTAAAATATATCTTGCATATTTCATTTAAAAAGCAGGCCTGTATTTGCACACAGATCATGGGGTATATGAGTTTTCATTTTACGCTGTTTGTCTTTTGTTTTTTTTGTTTTGGTTTGGTTTTTGGTTTTTTTTGTTTATTTGTTTCTAAGTTCTCAGATTATCAGAACTACATTGTGAATAGTTGCGTGAAGGAAAATCCAACAATGGAAAGATCAATTGCTCTTTGCAATGGTATCTCTCAGTGGGTGCAGCTAATGGTTCTCAGCAGACCAACACCACAGCTTCGGGCTGAAGTGTTCATCAAGTTCATTCATGTTGCACAGGTCAGTTAAATTTTGATATGTATAGTGTTTATTTTGTTTTTCTCTGATACAGGCCTTTAGGTGTTCTTCCCATGCTGCTACTGTAGGGTCAGCTGGGAGTGTTGGCACTCGTCTCCTGGTTCGTACATACATCATGCGTATTTGTGTATGCTGTGGTTTCATACCAAGTATTCAGATATTATGGCACCATGACTTCTTATATCCATTCTAAAAAAACCTGGTTTCACTGAAAAACTAGTCTTGCTTTTGAATCAGCTAGTGAGATTCCAAGCTGACTGTGTACCTTTCCAAAGCATGAACCCCTATCATGCCTTTGGCCATAATTAGAAGCATTTTTACCAGATATGCCTTACTGGACAGAAGAAGAGATATGGTCCTATTGGTAATCTTTGCATACTAATTCAACTGCAATCATAATCAAGATAATAGGCAGTGTTTCTTAGTTGTGATAGGCTATGAGAAGAGGGAGAAGTACTGAGGAAGTACTTTGAAGATTTAGTGTATCTGCAGAATTAATATCTAATAACAATAGAATACATATGTTGCACCCAGTAAAATCACAGCTCATTACCAAAATGGATACTGGCACAAAACTCTTAAGACTTTAGAGGAAGATGGTAGAGGAAATGTAGAATTTGGATGTGTGTAGTGTACAACTTGAACTTTAAATAACACTACTAATTTTTTTGGTATGTCAACACAGAAGCTCCACCAGCTGCAGAACTTCAATACATTGATGGCAGTGATAGGAGGTCTCTGTCACAGTTCAATTTCCAGACTCAAGGAAACAAGCTCATGTGTTCCTCATGATGTAATTAAGGTTGGTATCACTCCTCTAATTTTTACAGATAAGATAGGCTTTAACTTTTTTTGTCACCGCACACACGAAAAACCAATCTTACTTCACTGAATAAAATGGAGAGAAAAACAGAAGAGAAAAAAAAAAAAAAAGGCAGATTTCCTTTGATTTTGGAGGGCTTTTCTTTGTTATGTAATCTTTATGGTACCAGTTACTCCTACACTTCCAACTCCACTTTCCTTCAAGATTTGTGTAGCTTCTCTAAAGTTTCTCTTTGAATACTCAGATGTGACAAGCTGCATTTTCATTTATTTGCAGTTGTACAGAATAGCATTCAAACACAAAAGCAGAGAACTGGATCCTAGAACATCTAAGGAAAAAGCATATTGTCATTGATAGCAACATTGACCATCTCAAGTCTGAATGCTAGCACAGAGCTCTGTGTTTGAATTTTTTGAGTTTAAGACTGAAAGGACTGGTTTTGTTTATCTGATCTTTCCCTGTGACAGATTTTATCTAGTTCAGACATGAACAAACTTAGTCCTAGGACACACACAGTGGCATATTAGGAATCAGTTGTAATTTCCATTTGACTTCTTGTGAAATACAGATGGATATATATTTTTTTGAGATTCTTCTTACTAAAACTGTGAAGAAAAGTGTATTTATTAGCAATGAAATCACTTCTTCAGAGATTAATATGCTGTATTATTTTATCTTTTTTGAGGCCTGAAAGATTTTGTATAGGTATCTAATGAACCTGTTTTGATCACAGTATGATCAGTTTGAATGAACAGTGCATACCTGGAGTATAGACCAGACTTATGACCTCCTACTGATGATGGTTGCAGCTCTCGTGTTCTATAAAGACCAGTTAGCAAGCTTATTTTAAAGCATGTTGTTTTACAAATCTTTTCGTTACAAGGAGCGGACTACGTATGTGTCCATCATTTGAATAACTTTTCTACATCAAGAGATTGTATACAAGCACTAATAGAAAGCAAGTAAATAAAGGCTCTTAATTAGTGTCTTGAGAACACACTTTAAAGTTTAACAATAACAAACAGTTTATGAAAGTTAAAAATCAAGGGGTTAGATGGAACTGCCACAAGAAAACAGCAGTCCATTGCTTTTATAAGGTTAAGAATCAGTACCTGTGTAGTTTTACACAAGGAAAATATTTATACTGCTAGACTTAAGATTTATTTGGCCTCTACAACAAGTCAAATATACTGTTTCTTCTTCATTTCCATGGAAAAAAACTTTTTCTTAAAAGCACAAATGTGCCACCTTGAACTATAGTAGAAGTTCTGGTCATGCTGTGATGGGACCATATCACAACGTAGGGTTTTCTGCCAGGACTTTCGAATTCCAGCAATTCTAGCTGTTGACCTGGAAGGTGAAGAAGTGCATTCCACATTTTAAGGTGAACATGGTGGCTTTTATGGAGGTCAGAGAGCTTGTGCTGTGCATTAACTGCATACATGTCCCCTTGATTTGAGAGGATCCAATTTCTTTTACTTGATTAAAATAGGGAATGTAGGAAAACCAGCATTAATGCTGGTCTTCCTACATTATCTATTATAATATTATCTATT